CCCGTCAGGTAAAAGTCCTCTCGTGGCATTAGCTTCCTGCCGCTCAGGAGGGGAAGCTTTGACCCGGGGCTCCGCCTCAGCATGGCGTGTGATGAGGCTCCGTACTGACAGAGGGGTTAAGGACAGCCTTGGTTCAGCTCCTTTGAGACATCCCATACACTGGGTGGCATGGGGGTCAGACCTCGCAAACCCCCCCCCCCCCCTAACCAAAGTCTGTTGCAATTAATTGTGCCTGTCACAAAGCCTTTGTGTCACAATCTCAGGTTTCCACATGGCTACCGTGCCCTCTCTGACAGCACGTGGTCGCCCTCCTCTTGTTGGCCTGACACTGCATTTGTTAGAGGCCTGTGGCGGTGGCTAGAAACACGTTCTTCTGTGCCAGCGCCGGTCACTCACACACTAATTGCAGAGGTATTTACTTGATTAATTGCACCTCATTTAGCAGAGGTTGTTTTTCGGTAAATCAAAACAATAATTAAAAACAGCGTAGCCAGCTGCTCCAGGTGGATTTCTCTTATTTTGTTTCTGTCATTCCAAAATGACACGGAATATCAATTGTCCCGTTCTGGAAGTTAATTGGGGTCGAATGACTTTTTCATACGAACACAATGGTCCGCGCTCAGGAAATATTTTTCAATAAATTGCGTTTTTTTGTTTATTTTCTTTAGCAATGTTGGAAACATTAGCAAGAGTTTGTACCACTCAGTAAAGTATCTTGATTGTGTATTTATTTGGAAGAAAGCTGCTCTTGACCGTAGGATTGAATCCAGTGATCATTACACAGATCATTGAAATATTTAAAAAATCTATATCGATATCTTGTCTCGTACATTTGTATTATAAGTGTGTTCTGTTCCTGGTTTTAAACGCTGCTTTACAGTAAAGTGGTTTATTACAGTGTTCTAACTGTTCTATTCACCCACCTAGTCATTATATCCACATTACTGATGATTATTTATCAAACATCTGTGTGTAAGTATTTTGTGATAGCAGCAATAGTCGACTGTAGTTGATGTTTGATTTTCTCCATATCAACCAGCTCTAGTTTCTCTAAATACAGAGGGCGTACGGGTTTCTTCACAATAAACACAGTCTCACATTTATAGTTGCGTTAATGATTGGTTGATGCACTTAAGTCACCAAGCTGGCCGCGCTTTTGCGCTGCTCCCTGACCCTGAACTGGCCTTTAGCCTTTATCAAAGCGTGCGGAGCATCGTCTGTTGTCTCAGCCAATGCTGAGGTTAGTAGGAGAGGGAGGCTCTGTCCAAAACAATTAGCTGTTAGCGTGCAGCAGCTATCTGTCGAGTACATTAGGGTCTGCCCTTCCCGGCGAGGAGAAGCAATGTGCCTCGTCTACAAACACGTTGAAACCAGTCGTCCCTTCGTCGCAGCATATCCAGAGCGGCTTCTTGCATTCACCCGCTCCTATCCGATGTGTCACTTGGCGGGGTGTTTTCCATGCAGCCGAAGAATCTTTCCCGAAGGCTGTTTGTGTGCAGTCTGTTTCAAAAGTTTGCCGGTTCCCCATAAATGCAGCAGCTCACCGCACTAGTTTGCATTTTTGTCAGAGCCTTTAGGGTTTCTGGTTGGGAGTATAAAACTCTTGCATCTGCTACACAAATGTTGCTTTCTGACTGTTCACATACACCATTGCACGCTCTCTTAAAATGCCATCTTAATGTACATTTCATGCAGTTGTATTCCTAGTTTTCAACAGTCAACATATTTAAAATCCAGCAAGAAGCACATTCCAGTAACATTATTCAGCACTGAACTTTTGTTGATATGAATATTTGTTTGTATTCCCCTTTTTTTTTTCTTTTAGGCGGACTACTACACCTGCATAGCTACCATAGTGTACCTGAAAAAGGAGAACTGCCTCTACCAGGCCTGTCCCAGCCAAGACTGCAACAAAAAAGTGGTTGACCAGCACAATGGCATGTTCCGCTGTGAAAAGTGTGACAAAGAGTTCCCCAACTTCAAGTACCGCCTCATCCTTTCTGTGAGTGACTCAGCACTGGCTTCCATAAAGCTTCTAACGGGCTCTTTTTTTCAGCCGTGCTCACACACGAGCATTTCTGCTAATGCACATTATCTTGAATGCCTGTTCTTCCTGCTTAGTGTTGAGCAGCTGAGGCTCTGCATATCATCCCTATTCTCATTGCCTCGTCGTTCGGTTCTCCTTACTTATTCTGCCTCCCGGGACTCAAGCCCCTCTCTCCCCTTATGGCCCGGCTCCCTCTGGTTCAACATTGGCCCAATCTGCTCTTTGCCGTTAAATTTAGAAACATTTAAAGCCAGCTCTGCTATTTTTGAGACCCAGTGTGATGACTACTAATTTTAGATTTTTTTTGGTGTTTAAAATCAGAGCCACGTTGGGTTAATCGCTGCAGCTTTCCATACTGTTAGTCATTTTACAGAAAGTGCACGGAGGAAGAGGCAAACGCAGGCCTTTTTATTCTAAGCTCGTTCGCAAACCGACATTATTACGAAAGAACAAACAACGTTACGTACAACAACTCACTTAGTCGGCAACAGAGCAATTTCAGCCAGGCCTCTGAACTAAGCTGCGTTTGTTTAGTACCACTCACCAGTCGACATATTATTCTTCACAAGCTGTGGCATAAGCTGTGAATTTGCTTCCCCTGTATGTATCACAAGAGCATCGTGACTGCTTGTTTTGCCAGCAGGATAATTAGAGGATGTAACAATTTCTTAAGAGCAGAGAGAGGTGTTAGGTTAACATACCATATTTCAGCATCCAGCAATCTATACTTGTGTACATGCGTGTAACGTTTCTTCCTATTCACTCTTGCCTTTTTGTTTTCCATATAATCCCACAGGCCAACGTTGCAGATTACGCAGACAACCAGTGGGTGACTTGCTTCCAGGAGAGTGCGGAGGCCATCCTCGGCCAGAATGCAGCTTACCTGGGGCAGCTCAAGGACTCGGTGAGACTCTCCTCCCTAAATATATAATACTGGCCTCGGGAAAATAAAGAGGCTTTAGTTCCAGCCGGATATGCACGCTCACACACTCTTGCATGGACAAATTAGTGTAAAAGACACCGTGCTTTGTCTCTTCCAGCCATAATTACTTAGAAAATCCCAGTTTTCCAAGTAATTGAGTTGTTTTTCAGTATTCAGCTGTCAGGCACTTGCTTTATTTTGCACTCGAAACTGTGACATTTGATTAAAAAGAACGTGTGTACCTCTTGAAATTGAGCCAATCAAATGTTTGTTTTTTTCCGTTACAGAACGAAGTTGCCTTTGACGAGATTTTCCAACAAGCCAACTTCAACACTTTTGTCTTCCGCAGCCGAGTGAAGCTAGAAACGTATAACGTGAGTAAAGCAGGGATGGCAATTGTCTGATATAATGCCTACGGGTTTGTTGCTGTAACAGAAAATATGGCTGTTTATAAGACGGGGGAAAAAAATATGCAGCCTCAATCTCCTCAAACACCATCATTCCGTGGCAGACTGGAAATGCAGCACATAAACAGGTCCTTTATGTTTTAGTCGTTTGTGTTTTTCCTCCTTGATAGTTTTCCCATTCATTAACCGCACTGCTTTCATTTTGACTGACAGAGCCATCTCTGGAAAAAAACAGTGTTTGTCCGAGATTGCGGCTCATTTTCAGTGGCTTTGTGAGGGGCGCACGCACAGATTAGTCGTGGTCACTATTTCCGGGAGGCCACACAGATAGAGGTTTGTTTTTGAGGGACGCACATAAAAGAATAGATTGGGCTGGGACTCTGAGCAGGAAGTGTGGAGCCGAGCCAGACGCTCATCCGCCTTCCAAACCACAGAAGAGGCCTCTGTGTCTGTCACATTCAGCCCGGCATCCTAACTGCCAATGGCACCTCTACAAGCATGTATTGGCTGCTGCCTCCACACTCATATTCCTTCAACAGAGACACCTGCAACCCCTCTTTCAGTTTGTTTTCTTCCCCTCAATGCTACAAGCCAGCCATTGTGCGCCGCGCTCCCGTACTGCCATTGTATATGCTTGATGTCGGACAAAGGAAGTCAATGACACCCATTCATCCTGTTTCATCACAGTGAGAGGAAGATTAGACAGAAGCGCTTGTTTCAGGGGTTTTCAGAACAGTTGAGGAGAATAAACTCTTCATTTTAATTGAACCTGCCACCCGAGGAGATTATCTCTGATAATGACATTAAAACACACTGTCAGCACATTTAAAGGTCTCCGTGGCTACACCTAATGTTAGGGAAGGTAGACAGAGTTTCAGCCTTATGCGTTTATAACTAACATTAAAACTGAAAGAGGATAACAGAGTTGGTCAAGACAATATTTTGGAAATTAATACATTTAATTTTTAAGCAAATGAACACAGCTAGAACATTGTTTTTTTTAAACTAGAACACTGTTCTATGTACTAACTGTTACAATGATGTTTAATCTCATTGAATATTCATGACCAAAGATTGTTCTACATACAAAACCAACAAATGTGAGAAACTTTTCACAATTTTCTGACATTTTCCCAAATAAATCTAAGATTTTAATGACAAACGTTAGTTGCACCCTTATACAATATATTACATATAGCCAAGTACAGCGAACAACTTGATTACTATCTCTACCTTACATAGAAGAGAATGACTGTAATTGTTATAAAGAATGATCAAGATTTATTGGACCTTTTAGTATCAAATGGAAGAGTTATGATCTTCTGTCGTTTGTCCCTCAACATCGCACCGAACAAGAAGCCAAATAGGCTTAATGAGCAAAACCAAGCCACAGTAGAAGGGCGTCTCATTTGGGATCAAAACAACATTCAAGTTTAATTAATGTCATTCCAGTATCAACATTCTCAAATAAATGAGCATAAAGCCTTTCCAAGGGTAATGCGAGGTGCCACTGAGACCCAAAAGCTTTGCCACTTAATAGAGTTTTCTGGCCATCAAATGAAAACATTCTGTGATTAATTACAGTGCGTTTCTCAAAACAAGTGTGACGTGAAGCTGGTTCATGTAAGCATGATGTGCGTAATGTTGTTATTCTCACATAAATCAATATCAAAGTTGTGCTTTGGCCTTATTTTAATATTGCATGTGGGTAATCGTGTTGTAACTCTCAAAATGTCAGTGGCTGAATTACTTTGTTACATTCATATTTCTATACTTGTGGTGTTACTGCCAAAAGGCAACCTTTTGAATATTACCACACAGTACTTGAGTCTTGGACAGTCCTAAATCTTTTACTTGCCTGACGTTGGAAATGTCTGCTTGCGGCTAGTATATCTGAACTGCTGTGCTGTTATTAAGGTCTCATTGTCCCTGTAGGCCGCGACTAGACGCTGTAACTGATTCCCGTTTCTCAAAGGGAGGACACTGATGGCACAGCTGATATTGGACATTCAAGGCTTTTCATTGCACCACTGCAGGCCCAGCGTCAAGTCGGCTAATATTCTCTCTTTTGGCCCTTTTATAAATCCTGTCTGTCTTACAGGATGTGACCGTGGATGATCATGTGATGGAGTGTGTTACATTACTCTGGGGCGACGGGGAAGGGGAAGGTGTGAGCGTAGAGGGTAATGAAGTGGGACTGCTACTGGTTTTCCATTCCATTAAAGATTGGTTGCTCTTGACCAGTTTTCTGGTGCTGCGTAAAAACCACATGTTCCAACTACGTGATGTTGGTTGCTTACAGATTCACTGTGATCAACCACAGTCTTAACATTGCTGTCGGTGTGTATGGTGCATGTAGGGTGCCACAAAAACCCCCGTTACAAAGCCCTGCTCATGCAATCCTTTGTTTCTCTGGTGGGAAGATGAACACCGTGCTATTATTGCGTTATGGAATAGCATCATGTTCCATTAACAATCTGATAGCTTTTCTCTTCCTTTGCCAAAATGTGTTTTAACCGTAATGTGTAAACGTGGCTGGCCAGACAGGGGAGTGCAGGTCTTAATTTGGGCTTTTAGGATATTGCAAGGGATTCACGTCACAGAGCTAAACTTCTCTTTTCCTGAAAGTCAAATCCACATCGATCTTTTAGAAACCCAAATGACGACAACAACACTTACAGGTGCCATGTGGAGAATTCTTTGCTAATAAGTGTTGCGCCCCCCCCCACCAGTTTGTGACCACCAGTTTGTGACTGGTGGTCACAAACTGTTGTGAAGATATTGCCATAATCCTCAAAGATTGCTCCGTTTGTCTGAATCCACTCGTCTTCTACTTCTACTGCTCAACAACAAGGGTTTTAACTGGTTCTCCATGTTGTTAAACCCGACATAGAAGCCAAAGGTGACCTCTTCATTACGTACAACGCATTACCAACTTTTTAGTATCCTGTTCATTTATCTATATAGAGGACTCGCACGACAATTTCTTCTACTTTATGTCAAACTATAATGATGAAATCCTAATGTCTTTTGTAATATTTCTCTTGCGTCATATAAAACTAGCAAAGAGATTATAGTGGGCTATTCTGGAAGAAAGTGGGCAGCAGTCCAAAGAGAGATGATTTACATTTCACCCACTTGAGCTGCAGAGGATTAATGGAGACAAAATGAGTGTAACCTCTGTTTAAATGCAGAGAATAATGGCTCTGGTGGAAACGACCTTCCTGTGTCTAGACAGCTGTGGAGGTGGTTATGGCTTCAAAAGCTGCCGCTTTTTTTGTGAACCATTCATCTGAATGCCAACACGGTTCACATACGCGGCCCTAACATTATGCCATTTTGTCGTTGGGGGGGATGAGAGGAGAAGCCAGCAGATGTGTGGTATGGATGGAGAGATAAAATGAGCCACACTTCCCTGACGCTGTTGTGTTTTTTTTTTTTTAAATACATTGCATTGACCTCAGCAAGATGGACGCACTTCCTGAACGCAATCTGTGTTCTAGCCGTTTCTGAGTGGCGTGTATTAGCAGGGAATAGAGGCTTTCAGCGCGTTGATGGAAGTTGGGCATAATGTGCGACCTGTACGCAGTCAGGACACGAGGAAGATGAGTGACATGTTGTCTGGGGCAGGATTGTATTAGTTGTATTGCAAAAGGTAAAATAAAAGTGGTCATTGCGTATTAACTTTTCAGCAACATATTTAACAAACTATTTAGCAAGTTACCCTGAAGACACCGCTCCACTCTGCAGCACATGGTGGCTTGTGTTGGTAATTGTCATATTTGTTCTGCTTTATAGTTCTTACCCATTGTCTTCTTGACGCGGCTGTATTTTGTTCAGTGCTTGTCCCTCGTATTGAAGGACATTATATGGTTATCCTCGATGAGAGCTTGCCACAGTATTGTAAGTCAACGTGTGCTCTGCTGGGCAAACTGAGACGACACCAAATCTAAATTACCCAAGCGCCTTTTCCTGCGTTAAATTCTGTAGAATATAATATTTTCGAGAAGCCATCTCAACCGATAAAATCTGTCTTGGATAGATAGTCTGTCAGCATGTGTAATGTACCGTCGGGTCTTATCTATGTCAACTCCACGCAGACTCGTACAAGTTGACATTACACACAATATGGATTTTTGTTGGGGGGGAAAAAACCAACTGTATAAACATCACACGTCAACAGGAATCTGATTATGTGTACAGTGAAAAGAAATAGTGTGTGCTTCCTTCCTTTAACTACCTTAACGACACAGTGTGATGTCACGTGTCATCTAAACGAGTTTTCTAACTGTCTGACAGGATGAATCCAGGATCAAGGCCACCGTGATGGATGTGAAGCCCGTTGACCATAAGGACTACAGCAAGAGGCTGATCATCAACATAAGGAAACTGGCTGCTCAGTAGGAACTTACCATCTATGCAGAGTATTATTATTGCTTTTGCAAGTTTCCTTTTGTTCCTGTATAGTCAACGTCAGCTCTAAATGTGTGACAAAGTTTTGCTCACAAAGCAATTATATTTAGTTTTTTTCTCTTTACTTCCCTGTGAATGAATTGTCCTTAAAGTACTTGTGACCGTTCACTCTTCCTTTGGCAAATGATTGGTGGCCCGACTTTTTTTTTTTTTTTTTTTTTGTTTTGTTGGTGAACAATAACGGACATGTTTTCTTTCTTTTTGTTATTTGGGGAAGCAGAGCAGAGCGGAGAGTGGGTCAGTAAGTGACAAAATAAATCACAACTGTGTCTGTCTTAAGTCAGCCAGTTGTTCTCTGCCTGGCCGTGTGGGGCCGGTGGCTGCTTTAAGCAGGAGACCAGCACAGTAGCTCGCACTCTTTTCACTTTCTGACGCGCACTCAAAACAGCGAGGCTGGACCTGCACATGCCTGATAAGACCGCTTACTCTCCCACTCTTTTGTGCCTCGTCCCTCACACAACTTGCGAACATAAGCACATACACACATGAACAGTGCAGACCTAGAGGGGGATGTACTGTAGTCTATTTAAGTAGAAACAAGTTGTTGTTTTTTTTTGTTTTTTTTTACATTTCCAATGCCTTTAACTGTCTGTTCTGTAATTGTTTTTTTTTTGTGATAGTTGTGAGAATAAATATGTTTGTAATCAAGTTGTCTGTTGTTTTACGATGCATACTGGTTTCCCTGTCAGAAGTCTGTTGTATTAATGGAAGTACATAACAGTAACGTGTAAACTATTACTATCTATTTCAGCACCTGATCCTAAAGCTAACCAAAATATGTAGACAATTCTATTTTTTTTTAGAGTTGTACCATGTTTAGTGGATTTATTCAAAGACTGGCACACAATGCCCCTCTTATCTCCTCGGATTTTTGCTCAGGTGTGCAACAGACTCTCCTGCAAACCTGACTTTCATGTCGTATTAAAGCAGAACATCGGTAAGTCTGCGCCGCCCCATCTTTCATGCGATAACATCTCGTTTCTGCTGAGCGCTGCATCTGTTGCCTGTAGTGTGCCGGGATGGATTAAACCTGTGTAAATGGTAAGGAACGGTGCGTTTTACTTTATTTGATTTTGTCAGCCCTGCTTGGAGATAGTGATGCGGGTTTGCCTGTGATATCTTCCCCCCCCCCCCCCTCTCATCTTGTACAGCTAACGCTTTAGATGTTGCCACAAGTCGGTTATTGAGGCAGGGAGTGTCAAAGGTTGCCGATGATGCCGCTCCCCATTCCTGCCTCAAACTCCCAGTCAATATACAGCAACAGCAGAAAACGGTCCCACAGGACCTGGTGGCTCTTTAGCCATCTGAACTGAAGCGTTTCATTTCGTGAGGCACGCAGCACGGCGGTGAGAAAGGTACTTCTGCCAGGTTCATCTCGCGATTTCCCCAGGGTTCGGGTCTAGCGAGTTATTTTCTTGCATCTGACATCCCGTAACCTATTTGAAACAGGAAAGCTATTGATCAAGCTTCAACTGGATTGGAGTCACTTGATAATTAAATTTTCACACCTGTTTTTTTGATTAAGCTGATTACACAGTTCTAGTTAAGTGAGAAATTGGATTATAATGCGTGTATAATTGAGTTTGCACTTGCCTAGAATGAGATTGTCTGATAGCTGCTCGGCATTACGCTTGTTTGCTCGTGCTGTCTTAACATGGCTGAATGGAAGTGTCACGCAACATGCTCAAAATTAGCTGTGATTATAGTCTGTTAAAGGACCTTTGCTGGGGTCATGGGTTTGCTTACATCCCATCATTTACAAACTGAAAATATCAACTCACGACGAGCCCTTTTGATAAGTTTTGACCAAAAATAATCACAACTAAAAATGTCAGTATTTAACAGATAATTGCACTACAATATTTATCTGTATTTACATTTTTGATGGTAAACAGTCTTTACTTAAATTGTTTTAATCCAAGCAGAGTTGCTCCTGTCTGTCAGGGTTCTTTGGAGGCGGGCTGAATATTGTTCGACGCTGAACTTGTTTGTCGTTGTGTAACACAGTTAACGTGCATTATGTTCTTGCTCAGTGTGACACTTAAAAAATGAGTTTGCTTTATTGTTTTTAGTCCTTTTTCTGGTTGGTAACTAGTTTTGACAGTTTCTTTGCCATCAAGCGCTTCATGATAACTCAAAATCTGACAACCCCGTGAATGATGACTAGGCAATTAAATATGGATGTCGTTGTCACGCTGAGTCCTTGAACATCTCTTTATTTGGGGTACGCATTTGCAGTCTCGTACACTCCGTCTGTTCAACTTCATCTTCAAGGTTTTTATTCAATTTCAGATTTCCCCTCATTTCGGCGGTGCTGTGTTGTCAGGGCAACTGCTCCTCAGTAGGGTCTCCCAAGGTGAGGTGATGACACGTGAAGGATCTGGCAAAGAGTGATTCAAGGGCCTCCATGCATCCACAAGACTGGTCGGAACTTGAATACCGAACCCACTGCAAGCTAATTCTGCAGTCGTGCTGAAACTACCTGACATACTGAAAACCTGTTAACATTAGTGTAACATAGAGGTAATGATTTGGGTTCTGGGTCTTTGTGCTTTTCTGTAGCTCCGAGTATCAAGTGCACTCAAAGTGTGACGTGGGTGGGGGGTCAATAGGGGCCCAACAATAAACGAGGATTCAATAATGGGGTTCAACTGCACTTACAATGAATCTTTATCTATTACATGACATTTGACCAGACGGATGGATGTTGGCAATACTAGTGCAATTTAGGTTCATTTAAGGAGGCGTTCACAGATTCTGTGTGTCGGTATGTTTGGTGAAACTTCAGTTCTGGAATATTAAATATGTAAAATGTTGAATTTAATCTCAACATCACTGCCTATGCTATGCCAGATTAATCAAGAAAACTCTCCTTAATCTCCTCTCTGAAGAGAGAATGCATGTTGCCCTTTAAGCTGCTCTAGACTTGCATTGCTGCTGTGGTGTCAACAGATGCCACACTGTCGAGCCGTTGGCTTCTATGTTGGTGTGCTCATCTGTTTTGCCGTATCAGCGTGAGAAAATATCGTTAGTAAGTTTACACGTCCGCCATCCTTCCATCTTTTCAAGATTAGTATTCACGCACTGCAGGGTCTTTTTTTAAAGGAGCATATATGCCAACAATTGACTTATTGTGCTCACAGGCAGTCGGCAGTGCTTTAGCCGAGGCCTTGGCCAGTCTGCTGGTGGTTTAGCTTTATTACTGGTGTTTCTCCTTTGGACCTGTGGAGGCCGGCAAGGTGAGACTTTATGCCGTGCTGAGCGTAGGAAAGCCCGCGGCCCTGACACCATGGAGACAAATGGGCAGGAGGGGGACCCCTAGGGTACTGCTGTAATGAATGGGCGTAAGCAGTTTGTGTATTTCTAAAGATTCATGGCTCCCCTTTCCTGGGCCAGGGGTATTTGCTTATGTGTTCAAAAAGGGACAGGTGCAAGACCTTGTTTGTTTGTGTTTGAGCATCCAGAGACAGTCTAGCCTAGTCTCGTCTAGGCACCTGTTGACCAAACTGATAATGCGGATGCAGCAAAGCTTTTCTTTTTTTTTCCCTCCGACTGGCCTCACTGAGAGCTGTGCAGGTGAAAGAGAAAATAAGTGTTTCTGGCTCAGGATCTGTGCTCTTTCTTCAGATGGGGTGTGGAAAATTGCACCGACAGTGAAAATGTCTGGCAGGTGGAAAGCTGATCGTTACAATAATTGCTGCAATCAAATAAAGTAATAATCCATTGTTGCTACTGAAAAGCAGTTCAGATTGAATCTGTAGGGACAAATGTGTCTCGGGCGCCTATCCTGTTTCCACTTTAATTGGATTTGGCAACAGATAAAGTTCCATTTGTCTTCTCAAGCACTAGATTATAAGGTCATGTAGTGAGTTTGTGTTGTTATTTTCTCTGCAGTGTCTCCTTGTCATTGTCGGGGCTAGACGTCCCGAAAAACACACTTTACTCCGATTCAATTTCAATGATTCATTTTCAGCTTTGTGTTTTGTTTCTGCCTTGCAACTATTCTCTGTGAAAAGTCAGACTAAGGAGAAAGTTGCTTTGTACAATTCTCAAGGTAAAAGCAGCAGCAATCTCCAAAGATTATATACTTTTAGTCGCTGTAAATTTCTCCTTTACACTAAACGGGTAACGGCATGAAAGGTGGACGAGGTGGTTTGATATTTTAGGGCCGAGGATGATACTGATTTGATCTCTGGTGTTATATCATTTGATTTCAAAACCAGGCACTTACTCTTGTCTGACTTTGTGCCATCAACCCTCCACTGAAATGCATGCGGGCCTCTCTTTATTTATTCAACTTGTTTAAATTCTGTCCTGCTGCAATTCAGCATTCAGTAACCTTTATCTTGACCATGTGCGTGAGAGGAGCTCATTCATGTACCGAGGTGGTATGAAGTTGGCTCTCAGTCTAGTTTACCTCAAACAGCGCTGTTGGAAAGAATGAGGTTGGATGTAACAGCAGTTTAAGCTTCAACACATTATAGTAAAGGTCTTTTGTTTAAACAGAGCACAGCTAGCTTCTTATTCTCTGTTCAGTCCAATGAATAGGCAGATAGTGTCTCCATTCTATTACCTGATAATTAGACCGAATTGTCATTTTGTAATTCTTTTTTCAGTTCTGGAGTCAAAGGTTAGGAAGATTTCATTCTCACCAGCATCCTTGTAGAGATTGTGAGCACAACTCTTTGGAAGCATTTTGACTTTACTTTGGCTTTGCTGGTGTTTCTGGTGTTTCAGTGGAGCGCTTATGTCCACTCTCTGCACAATGTCTATCTGCAATACAACCTTTTTGTTCATGTTCAAATATTGGCAAAAACACTGCAATGTTCCCTAAATAACATAACACAGTGATTTTTCTTTCTGAAAGGGAAAATAATATACAATTTAGTATATATATATATATATATAGTATATACTAGTAATATAGCAGTGTAGATGTTTATGATTATCTTGGCCAAACTGAGTAATTTGCTCACGTTACCTCAAAGAAGATGGTGGGGGTTTGTCGTGTAGCGGACAGGTTTCTCTTGAAGGAACAGAATCAGCACCACAGGGGTGTTTGAACGGTGCCGGTGGAATATTTTTCAGATTATTCATTATATTGAAGAAGGGAGGGGGGGAAAAAAAAAACATCAAAGGTTTTGCACGTCACTGAAATTACTATTCCATGTATGGTTTCCGATATCAAAATAACTTTGAAGTTTCATGTTGCGCTTTTGTAAACCCCACAAAGGAACTGACACCCCCCATGCTTTGAGATCCGCGGGGTCTTCATTCTGTATGTACAGGTGTGGATGACCTTGTCTAGGTTTCACATTAATTGGATGACCCATTGCTTTGAATACGCGCTGCTCATCAGTGAACACTGAAGAGTAGTATCATCTCCGAGTTCATTGAAGTGTCAAGATAAAAAATGATTAGATGGCACGAGGTGCGAGACTGTCATCGCCAGACTGAAAAATATCAAATGTGTCCATTTTTTTTTTTTCCCCCTGTGGCAACAATTCTGTCTCCCTGAATGAACTGAGAGCATTATAAATAGTCATTCATTGTGATGCTGATACTGTTCAGTTCTTGGATTCTTGTTCATCATC